CCGCTCTAAGTAAAACCAATGGTTCCAGCTGGGTCTGGAGGGAACTTTCCAGGATGGTTGATAAAAGAAAAGCACGTTTGCCTGCTTTACAGAGTAGACTTTTTTGGACTCAGGACCCAGCCATAAGCCACTGACCTTTTTCTACTGCCTGTTCCCTTTAAAGAGTGGTATTATTTCCCATAAGGTAAAAAGACACTTTAAGATAGTATAACTGTTACAGTATTTTGGCCCATATAAAATGGATGTTTTGGTTCATATCATTTAGAAAATGAAAAAGTAGTCTAGGAACATTTAGAACGTGTCTAGGTTATTACACTCTTTGGGTATCTAGGATGAATGAAAGCATCTATCTACACAAAGTCACATAATTCAGAACAACCCAAATGTCTGTCAAGAGGTGAATGGTTAAAATAATTGTAGTATATTCCTATAATGGAATGCTAGTTAGCAATAAAAAGGAATGAACCTCAAAATAATAATGCTAGGTGAAAAAGTTATGATTGCTTTGCCAGAAAATTTGAAAAATACAATGTCAACTTTACTTTCTTATTAGCAAATTCTAAGCTATGTAATAGTATATCAATTTTTGAATAGTAAAGGCACATAAATGAAGGTCCTCTCCACCCCATAATCAAAGGAAGATTACTTTAGTAAACTAGAAATCCAAATTTAGAAATGGAGAATAACTCTAAAAATATACATTTTATAAATAGCTTGGCTTAGTGATAGAAGTTTATGTTGACAATTCCAAAAATAGAGAGAAAAAGCCACTTCTTCCAACTATGCAAGATAGGCCTTGCCATGCCCCATTTTCCAACACAACTCTCAACAATCAAATATATTTCATTATGTTTGACGTTATTAAAATGTTTAGCCAAGGTTGAGAATGTTAAAAAAACAAAAACAAAAACACATTACATTTAAAAAAATGTTTTTAAAATTGATTTCAGAGAGGAAGGGATAGGAAAAGAGAGATAGAAACATCAATGATGAGAATCACTGATCGGCTGCCTGTTGCACACACTGGAGATAGAGCCCACACCCCCGACATAAGCCCTGACCAGAATCCAACTGTGACCTCCTGGTTCAGAGTTTGATGCTCGACCACTGAGCCATGCCAGCCAGGCTGCTTTGTTTTTTTAATGTTGTGCCTTTACTAAACTATCTTCAACTTCAGAAACATTTCTGACTAAAAGGAGTGTATATGTGGATTTGGGGATAGTTATAACTGTAGATAATCCTAACTCCTGAAAAGTAATATCCAAAACAGATGTGCAGTTTGGTGAACCCAGCATTATCTTGAGGTTCACACTCTTTCTGACAGAGCTCTGGAGTTAGGTCTTTTGTAATTTTATTACTTAGAAAAGTAATAGAAGTCATTACAGCATTCTTCAAATGATGGGATCTTAATGGGGGGAAAAAAGGTAACCTATTAGCATATGCAAGGTGTGAGGTTAAATCTCCTGCCCCCTTTTATACAAAGAATGTCAGCATGCCCATTAAAAATAAAATATCCACAGGAAAATACATAAGTAAATCTATGGTTTATATTCCATATTAAGACTTCAAAAAGAGGTGAGATAATCTTAGGAATAGGAGAAGTGTGCACTGGATTCTGAAACAGCTTTTCCAGCATCGACTGAGAAGAAAGACAGTGGGGTGGGGCGAGGGGTGCCAAATTCTTTGCTATTAGGAGGACAAAAGATTGATTGTTATTTTTTCACAGGGCTGAACAGTATTATTTTAGTCCATTTGACGAAAACTATGGACATCTGAACTTCTTTACTATTGTGGGTAATGGTGTAGTACATACAATATCTTCATCAGTAACACTGCGGATTTTATCACTCATTAAACCCATGACTGACCCTGATGTATATTGATTACTACTCATAAGAAATGGCAAATGCAACAATCATTAGTTGCAAAAAGATTTATAGCTGTAATTTCTATGAAGATTAAAGCAATTATTTATTCACAAAAAAGGTTATCTAATTACAATAGTCTTATATCTATTTCCTGGGCAGTTTCAAGAATTCAGATGAAACAACTTGGGGATGAGCCTTGACCTATGTCTTATAAGGCTCCAAGGAGAATCTTAATTGCTAAGAGGGAGAAAAGCTCCTCGCAGAATCGTGGTAACAATACAGGAGGGTACACTTAGCAGAAGAAGAGCAATTGGCTTAACCAGTCTACTGACCACAGACCATGAGCCAGGTTGCAGAGTTTACATTAATCTCACAGGTATTAGGAATCACATTCTTAGGCACAAGAAAAGTAAGAAACTTTCATATACAGGGCAGACTATCTTCCCTTAAAATGTTTTTTGTTTTTTTTTTTTTTTTTTTTTTTTTTTTAAAAACCTTGAAACAGAAGCTGGGATGCATTCCTTTACAAAAATGCAACTCATGTATTAGAAAAAGACGTATCTAGAAAATTAAGCATTACATGCTCAACCTTATAGAGCAAGGATAATGTTTGTAGCTTTCAAGTTTTTTTCTGAGAATAAAAATTGCTTTTGAAAAATAAAATAGTGAATAATCAAAATGAAACTAACCATTTTAAGCTCTCTGAGGTCAAGTTTCTCTAAAATAATCCAAATAAATTAAGGTGATAATGTCCATCTTTAACTAAAAAGATACACTACTGCCTTTCAAGTTAAGATGTCTTAATTTTTCAGAATTCTGTGTTAACCTTAACACAGAATTAGTTTACCTGACCAGAGAATCCTATAATATAGACATGTTTTGTTAATCTTATTAAAAAGTACTTCAAGGAATCCTTTGAAATGAGTTTTTTGTAAACATTTTGAAATTTGGTACCTTCCCATATCCCAAAGCATGTGAGGTGTCTATAGATATAAAACCTAATATGTAAATTGTCCCCTTGGGAGTTCCATCACTCACTATGACACACACTGACCACCAGTGGGTGGTGTGGGACGAAGGAAGGCCCCGGCCAGCAGCCAGCAGCCGGGGAAGTGAGGCCCTAGTTGGCAGTTGGAAGGCCTGAATGGCCCTGATCACTGCCAGGCCTAAGGGACCCTACCATGTATGAATTTAATGCACCGGGGGCCTCTACTAGGATTATAAAATAATGACTTATTAACTCACCCGCACTCATTTCTATTAGAATAGTAAAAAATAAACTTTGGACAACAGTGCCTCTTTCTGACTTTCTTGATTATCCCGCTGACCCTTCTGACCCTTATCTAAAGCCATCTTCACTAAAATTATGACCCTTCTTTGTGAAATCTTTCCTGACGTCTACCTTAAGATCATTTACAAAATATGTAGGATGAGAAAAACACAAATGCTTGCTTGACACAAACACTACCAGATTCCACATAGGAGCTACTCCAAATTTAGCCCTATACTGGAATTTCACACTTATCAACATGTTCACAATTGTGCCGGTAAATGTACTGACAACTAAAACTTATATAACTAATCAATATCTTATTTTCCAGTATATGCAAAGTTGATTTTTTTTAAAGTATCTTTTGTAGGTTGCTTGCTCTGACTTAGACAAATATAATAAATCAACTCTGCATTTTTAATACCATATAAATTGAATATAATTCTTATTACTTATAAGGCTCACCTTTTCTAACGTTTTAATAGTAAAAAAGTAACTAAGAACTTCTGGTGAGAATTTTAATAAGAATTATGATTTACTTATACTCAAGTTTGATATAAAAACTTAGAAGTACTTTGTTGATCAAATTTGAGATTTAAAATCTCAGATTGGAAAAAAAAATTTCCCAAAACACTTTGAGATAGAAGACTTTTGGCTCAAATTTGAGTTAATTTCTGATCCTATGTAAGTTTCTACTTCATTTAGTACAAATATGTCTTGTTTTGGAAACACTTCAGAGAAAAAGCAAGGGAAAAATGTCTTCACCGCATAAAGACCCAATGCTACTTGCTCTTTCCAGACTATTGTGTGCTGTCAGTGGCCCTCATTGCAAGAATGTATGTGCTCTCTGCTTTATCAAAGACAATGTCTATGAGTTATTCCCTAACTTGATCTATTGATTAAAGGAGGCATTAATGAGATAAAGAACAGAGTTTTTCCCCCTCACAAAGTTAACTGGTCTTTATGAAGATGACATCTGACTTTATCAGCACAGTGCCCCAATGGACAAGTCAACAGTATCCAAAACGAGTGACATTCTGCCGAATCCCACTTCCACAGCTGATTCTAACCCAATGCAAGAGAGCTACGTATCATCTGAGGGGCTTCCCGGGTGCTTTGCCCACCTGAGAGAAGTGCAATGAGCTCCCACCTCCCAATTCCTTCAAACCCTAGGAACCCTGAGCACAGAGAAGCCGCTTCTGTGGTCTCAGGAATGAGTTTCTGCCTACGAGTCAGATAAGTAGCTGTGCCAGAAGAAAGTATGACCACAGTCTTTCCCTCTACATAAGATACCTGCACAACCACTGCTCCCTGAGGGTTCATCAAGGAAAAATGTGCTGATAAAAACCAACAAAGAAACTCAAAACACTCCCCAGGGAAGATCCTTCTCTTCTAGTGATTGTGATATTGTCCCTTTGGAAGGTTCACTAGAAAGAATTTTTCCTTTTCTAACAGTATCATTATGACTGTTAATAAACTTTCCTATAGTAGCCTCCCCAAGTCAATATTCCTGTTGTTACTTTTCAAATTAGCCATTTCATACTTTTTAAAGCTACATAATATAAAAATTAGACAGACTTCAAGACCGACAGAATGTACACTGGAGGCATAATACATTTCAAATAAAAAAAGACCTCTATGGAATAAAAATGAATACTAGCAGCAGTATGGGAGGAGCAGGAAGGGAACAGATAGTAGATTCTCTGGGAAGAGCAACATTAACTGAAGTATCTTGGCAGAAAGATAGCTCAAAGTTTTACTGTGGGCTAATCTTTAGTGAGGACAGGTCCTTGGAGCACAAGTTTCTCTCTTTCCTAATATCTCTTTCATTTTTAATGCTAAAACATCAGATAAGAGCCTACCTGACATTTTGGAGAATTTGCTGTGCTGGGATTGATATTCCGCATTGCCTAAGAGTGAAAAATAAGATGGATAAAAATTACTTCAAGCCACATGGTTTGGCTATGTAGGCTGACTTACAAATTGTATCCAGACACATCACCATCGCACAGAATTCCCAAGCTAGCTTGAAGCAGCAGACTGAGGAAGACAGGAGCCAATGGAGTCACCAGACAACAAACTGAAACCTCTCAAGCATTGCACAGCATCGAGGACAGGACAGCAAGACTAGGTGTCAGGACCCAGATCAGATTTGCAATTGGTCAGGTAGGTTCTTTGCTTCTGAGTATTAGGTGAAGCAGGAAAAACATAACTTGATGTTTTAGTGATAAGAGAAACTGTCAATGAAAGAAGTTCACAGGAAGCCAAAAGACTTAAGACATACGTTATTTATGCCGATTGCTAAAAAACAAAAACCCTAAAAATATAGACTATTAGTATAAGAATAGAGCAGTTCTGTCATTTCAATGCAAGAAAAGATAACGCAGTTGAAAGTAAAGAAGAAACAGAGCAAGAGGTTACCCAAGAAGTTACCTTCCAAAGAAATGAAGCTATTCTGCCAGGACCCATCACCCAGAGTCAAAGTGAAAATAGAAAAATTGTTTGGAAGGAAGCGTTTTACAAGGAGCAGCATTCTGTCCACCAAAATACCACCAAAGCCAGGCTGATTTATAACATACACCAAAATGATGAATACCCATTTCTAGACTTTTATATATAAAAATTATAAAAGTAAAACTTTGACATAAGTAATTAAATCACTTTAATGAGATTCCTTGGTTTTCAGAGTCTTCCATTCATATGTGAAACTAAGACTTGTACTTACTTAGACCATCTAGTACTCCATAACAACAAGACAAAAGCATGAAAACAGGCTGTGTAAAGAGTACCCTTAAATTACTTTACTTCTCCTAATGGGTCACGATGGCCCCCCCCCCCCCCCTTGTTCTGAAGATAAAGTGTTAAGTGAGAAATCTTTTCTTTAGAGTAATTTGTTAGAAAGTCATTAGAGACATTGTAAACAGGATCATATGCTTCCTGCCCCCACCTTCTCAATGGCAGATGAAGAAATATTTCTTGCAAGACCACTTCCTGACACCACCTGCTGGCACAGACTCTCCTCCCCTCTGGGGCCACCATGGTGCCAACAACATTATCATTCACTGAGAGCTTACTGACAGCACACACACTTTAAAGGTGAGTCTGTCTGGGATTTCATGGCTTATTGTAATTCCTCAGCTTCCAGATCCTCAAATCCCAAATCAGAGTTCAATTTAGTTCATGCATTTCCATTAAGACTCTAGTGACACTTTTTAAATATAGCCCTCATTACAAAAAAAAGTACCTTGTTTAAATGCCCACTTCCTGATAACAGACATGTAGAATATTATTTTTTAATATCTATACTTAGCACGCTATGATTTAGGTGGGGGAGGGAGAGTATAGACACATGTATTTAATATTTAAATATAAATGAATTAAGAGTGTCCCTGAAAAAAAAAAAAAAAAAAAAAAAACACACACACACAAAAGCAAGAAACTGACAGCTTTTACCATTTATACTTATTTTTATTACCCCCACAATTTATAGAAAACTTAAAAAATAAACTGCTTTGATAAGATCACACCCCCATTATCTAGATAAAGTAAATAATGATTTTTAGATGAGGAATTATCCATTCTTATGGAACATAAAGACCAACAGTAGTTTCTGAAAGAAAACTGATGGAAAGGTCATAAATGATTTTAATATCTCTAATGTCCTTTCCTTCTCAACAAAAAACAAAAAAACAAAAACCCCATTAGCAGGTAATTTTTACAGAATTTGGCACCTTCCAAACTTATGATAACTTGTGTTATGTTTTAAAAATCTTAGATTGAGCCCTAACCAGTTTGGCTCAGAGAATAGAGCGTCAGCCTGCGGACTGAAGGGTGCCAGATTCGATTCCGATTAAGGGCATGTACCTTGGTTGCAGGCACGTCTCTAGTAAGGGGTGCGCAGGAGGCACCTGATCGATGTTTCTTTCACATCGATGTTTCTCACTCTCTACCTCACTCCCTTCCTCTCTGTAAATAAAAAAATCATAAAATATATTTTAAAAAAATCTTAGATTGAGCAATACTGAAAGATAGTTGTCATATGAGAAATACCCTGGAGTATTTCCCCAGATCAACAATTCATTCAAAGTAAAAGATATTCTTCCCTAAGCAGTAGCCCCAGGGTTCCTTGTTAGTGAATGTTTAGAAGTAGTAATCTGCAAAGCTCAGTAATCTGCAATTCCTGGGTCATGTGAAGAAGCACCTTTGCTTCCTTCAATTTTTGCGTGGCTGCAATGACCACAGCCCAAACCTCTCTTTGTGATACGTTTTACATGTTACATTCCATGTGATCAGAGCCCAGCCAAGAAACTAAACTAAGGACAGAGATGGATAGAGTGTTTCTGTGTCACTCTATACATCCAACTTCCAGTAGGAAAACGGACCCCAAAAAGTGGAAGGCTGGTTTCTAACCTGTGGCCTCACCTGCCGAAGCAGTTCTTGCTGCTTCAGTCGCAGCCTCTCTTTCTCCATCTGCAGTTGCTGCAGCCGCATCTGTTGCTGCTGGTTAGAGCTGCCGCCACCCAGGACTCCTCCCTGAGGGCTCTGGGGAGCCAGGGGTGGTGGCTGCTTCACTGGAGCACTTTGACTGATTCTCTGGTTCATGGCTGAAATGAAACAAAAGATGCGTCCTAAAAAACTAGCAAAGGAAAGGGATACTTAGTTATTTAAAGCAACTGGGGATACTTAACTGAGGATATTAGTCCCTTTCTGAAGTAAATCTGGAAATAACCTAAAGATCTACCAGTAGTGAAATGGTTATGTTGTTTATTACTACTATTAGTCAGTCATGTTGTTATAAGCTGCGAGGCAGCCACAGAGAAAAGAATCAAGGGACAGCTCCAACGGGCAGCGAATGACAAGGATCAGTCTAGAACACATGAAGTTAAAAGCAAAGTGCAGAGCAGAGAGTTTAAAATAAGGGGGGGGGGGAGGAGAGGAGGGGAAAATGTACACTACATGCCTATCCAGAGAATATGAATTGAACAGCAGCCAATAAACAACCAATACACATTGGCTCTGGAGCTGGGAAACAGTGTAACTAAAGGACTGAATAGAAGAGAGACATTTTTGGTAACTTTTTAAAGTTTGAATGGTATGAATGCATTGCTTATTACAAAATAGAAATGCATATTTAAGTTAAAAATACATTTCCCACCCTGGCCAGGTAGCTCAGTTGGTTAGAGCGTCTTCCATATATACCAAGGTTGTGGGTTCGATCCTTGGTCAGGACACATAAAAGAAACTAATGAATGCATAAAAAAGTGGAACAACAAATCGACGTTTCCTTCTCTCTCTCTCAAATCAGTAAAAAACCAAACCAAACAAAAACAAAACAAAAACCTAAAAAACCATAAACATCACCCAAAGCAAGTGAGACAAAAGATTCTGAGCAGTAAAGCCCATCAAAATGATCCCTGGTGGGGCGTTGTCTCATACACCACAAAGGATGCAGGTTCAATCCTTGGTGAGGGCACATACAGAAGGCAACTGATGCTTCTTTCTCTCACTTCCTCTCTGTCAAAAGTCAATAAGCATATCCTGGAGTAAGGATTAAAAAATATTATCAACCTGTAATACATCCTAAAAAATATAACTCTTAGAGGTCTGATGCACGAAATTCCTGCAAGGGGCTCGGCCCTTGCAGCCCCAGTCTCATCCGGAAAGTTGTCTGGAAGGATGTTCGGCTGCCCAGTCTAATTAGCACATTGTACTTTTATTATTATCCTATATAGTAAAAGGCTAATGTGCAAATCAACCATACAGCAGAATGACCAGTTGCTATGACACACACTGACCACCAGGGGGCAGATGCTCAATGCAGGAGCTGTCCCCTGGTGCTCAGTGTGCTCCCCCAGAGGGAGCGCTGCCCCGCCAGAAGCCAGGCTCATGGCTGGCTAGCGCAGCAGCAGTGGTGGGAGCTTCTCCTGCCTCACCTCTGCGGCATCTCCTGAGGGCCCCCAGACTGTGAGAGGTGCAGTCCGGGCTGAGGGACCCCTCCTCTGAACGCACCAATTTTGTGCACTGGGCCTCTAGTAGACCATATAGAATCCTAATATGCAAATCGACTGAACGGTGGAATGATGGGTCACTGTGATGCTCACTGACCACCAGGGGGCAGATGCTCAACATAGGAGCTGCCCCAGCCCCCAACTGGCAGCAGCAGCCGGGGACAGGGCGGTGCCAGGCTAGTCAAGGCGGTGCGAGCAGGGGCCCCAATCACCCTGTCAGTCATCTCACAGATCGACCCTGATCGCCAGCCAGGCCTAGGGACCCTACCTGTGCATGAATTTCAAGCACAGGGCCTCCAGTACACTTATAATGAAGTATATTACATTGATCTGCTGCATGCTAAAAAGAAGCCTACAAACATCTAGATGGCAGAGAGCTATCTCATTCAACACCATGATACCCCCAATACAGCCAGGTAGTCACAATTTTTTTAGTTGAACCTACATTACAACATCTAACAATTAGAAATAGACTGGATTCTTATGCTAGTGAGTTTCAGTTACTGATACAACCACACTGTGAATTGTGGTAATCTCAGAAAGCAGATGGAAATTTTATTATGTAAAAATGTTAAGAACGATGTATCACCTTTTCAGACATTAAAATTTAAAAAAAAAATTCTTTTAGTCTTTATTATTGAGAGTATTACAGATGTCCATCTTTTTCCCTCCATACCCCCTCTACCTGGTTCCCGCCTCACCCTAGGCATTCACTGCTCTATTATCTGTCCATAGGAAATGAATATATACAGAAGACCTTTGCTTAATCTCTTCCTGGCCCCCTTTCCTTTGGGACTTGCCAGTGTGTTCCATGTTTCCATGCCTTTGATTCTACTTTATTTATCAGTTTATTTTATTCATTACATTTTTTGTTTAGATTTTTAGGTTTAATTGCTGATTGATAGATATGTACTTATTGCCATTTTATTGTTCATATTTTAAAAAATACATTTTACTGATTTCGGAGGAGGAGGGAGGGAGGGAAGGAGGAAAGGAGGGAGGGAGATCAATGATAAGCATCAATGATTGGCTGCCTCCTGCATGCCTCCTACTGGGTATCAAGCCTACAACCCAGGCATGTGCCCTTGACTGGAATTGAATCTGGGACCCTTCAGTCCGCAGGTCAACATTCTATCCACTGAGCCAAACCAGCTAGGAATATGAATATATATGAATTTATATATAAAATCATTTTCTTTTTTCCTTCCTCTTCTTAAATTATACCCTTCAACATTTCATATAATACTGATTTGGTGATGAAGTTCTTTAGCTTTTTTTTTTGTCTATGAAGCTCTTCATCTGATCTTCAATTCTAAATGAGAGCTTTGCTGGATAGCATAATCTTGGTTATAGGTCCTTGCTTTTCATCACTTTCAATATTTCTTGCTACTCCCTTCTGGCCAGCAAAGTTTCTGTTGAGAAATCAGCTGGTCATATGGGTGCTCCTTGTAGATGACTAATGGCTTTTCTTTTGCTGCTTTTAAGATTCTTTGTCTTTAACCCTTGGCATTTTAATTATGATGTGTCTTGGTATGGGTCTCTTTAGGTTTCTCTTGTTTGGGACTTTCTATGCTTCCTGCACCTGTAAGTCTATTTCTTTCACCAGGTAGGAGAAGTTTTCTGTCATTTCTTCAAATAAATTTTCAATATCTTGCTCTCTTCTCTTTTTAATATCCCCATAATGTGAATGTTGGTACACTTGAAGTTGTCCTAGAGGCTCCTTACACTATCTTCATATTTTTGGATTCTTTTTATTCTTTTTACTCTTCTCATTGGGTGTTTTTTTGCTTCCTCATATAACAAATCATTTATTTGAGTCTTGGAATCCTCTATTGCAGAATTCCTGTAAATTATTCTTTATTTCAGCTCTGCAGAAGCCACTTGGTAAACACTAAGTCTTTCACCTCAGTCTTTCCCAGAGTCCGTTATAAACAATAAGAACTGTCTTACCTCAGGACTTTTCCATTTGACATTTCTCACCAGACTGTAATTTTTTATTTACAAATTTGTGTATATACTCTCTTAGACTGGAGTGCCACAGGAGTGGGGACATAACCACATATATATACAGTAGGTCCTCAGGTTACATAAGAGATCGGTTCCTATGGCATGACGTAACACTATTTTCGCCGTAAGTCAGAACCAAGCTACATAAGCACCTACGTCACTCACACGGAGCACATACACAGCAGTAATGAAGTGAAACAGTAAAAAACATGTAAAAGATAGATAACAACTCCTGACCTTTGCTGTGGTAAATAAATAATAAAAAACATAAAGCACATATGTATATAATGTTGAAATGATGGAACTTTAAATAAATGGGAGATGGCATCATAACCACAAAATGACATACGTCAAGTCCAACTTAATCCGAGGACTGCCTGTATCATTAGTGCCTAGCACAAGGTCTGGCACAAAGTTTGTACTAAAAAACCACTAAAACTGAGTTGAGTATTCACAACAATACAGAAATCCTACCCATTTCCCTTTAGACTGACCAACTCCTCTGAGTCCAGCAAGACATAAGAACCAAGGAGAGTAGAAGAAAAATTTTAGAGCAACCTCCTTCAGATGCCTTAGTTAAAATTCAACCTACTGATTCATAAAAGTTTCCCATTGTTTTGTCCTTCAGATATTTCTTTTGGTGTAAATAGTAAGATCACTGTGATTAAAAGTCACCTGAAATAATTCCTCTCTGTGTGACTCAGCCAACTCTATGTGTGGTTCACTTGACTTTGCTTTTGAATTTTAGAGCCTTATTTTCCTTTCCACCCACCATCTCCCCACCCAAGAGATAACTGTTACTATTTTGCTTATTAAATAGAAAAAGCAAAGTGGAGTCAAATTTTCAAAGGATACTAACATATATCTGAGAAGCGGCTGTGTCTTTGCTTAGATTTTTAAGAATAATATATATATATGTATATGTATATGTGTATATATATATATGTATATACACACACACACACACACACACACACACACACACACACATTCCAAAGCAATATATAAAGGTTTTCCTCATTTTCTTTTTTAAATAGTTGATTAGTATTCCATCTAAACAATTCTCTATTAGGTCTTCACTAATACTAAAGAGTACCATACAGAAGAATCTCGACATACACAATTTTGTATTCCTACTACTTTATCTTTGGGGTAGAGTCCTAGATTGGAGAGATTGCTGAGTCACTGGTTAAAAACTAAGTAACAGTGCCAAGTCATCCCCCTCTTCTCCGAACATATAGAAGTTATACTTTGTTGTAGCTCTGTAAGTAATATATAAAGACTATCTTTTTATCCATCACAGCCTTACAAAACTTTTGGATTTTTGCCATTCTGAAATATGAGAAATGGTTTCATAATATTTTGCTTTGTCTTATAGAAGCTTGGTCACTTTCCACATTTTAAATTTGCATTTTTATATGAATTCTTTATCTTTCCCTTTTTTAGACAACCTTTATATACCAGGGATTAAAAAAAAAAAAAAACACCTTTGTCATATATATGTAAAAAGTAATTTCCCTCAGCTTATTATATCTTTTTAGTTTATTTTTTTTAAGTTGTCAAATTCATCAATATATTTTGAAATTTGA